TCCCCGCTGCGGAGGGCGCCGCCGGGAGGGCAGAGGGCGGTTTGCCGTCTGTGACTAGAAAGCGCCGCCTAAAGAGGCCGCTCCCTAACGGGGAGCTGCGGGCGGTAGCGCCGGGAGGGCAGACCGTAGCGTCGGGAGTGCGGCCTGCCGCTGGGCAGTAAAAAAGCAGCTCACGGTGGGGGGCTGACGAAAGCAGTGGCTTGTGCGTGTTAAGGGTGTCGCTTCTGCCTCTGCAGGTCCGCGGGTTTTCCCAGGATGGCTGCCTGGGCGCCTTCTGATGCGCTGGGTCGGAGACTCTTGTGTGGCATGGAGCGCGCGACCGTGCGCTACGTTGGCAGCGTTCCTCCTACGGCAGGTAAACCTCACAGCAGTAAATAACCTTTGCGTTTCATGGTGGTTTTCAAAACTCTTATTACGGTCTTCTTAATTTAGAAAAAAAAATTGTCAAGTAGAATGTGGCAATTTACAAATTGTTTTTTCTCATTGTTCTTGCGTAAATATGGCAACGTCTAATCTAGATAAGTTGTTGGGTTTTTTTAGAAGTCAGAGCTGTCAAAAGGGCTGTAAGAAGTACTTTTGGTTGAAATTGGTTACGTTTTTTCTTGCAGTGGAAAGATCTTAGTGCCTTCCTTTTTCCATTAGTTTTCATGAACAGTCTGTTCCCTGATCTCTGTGTACTGGTATAGTCTGGGAAGGAGAGGGACAGGCAGCAGTAGCAGATCAACAGACTAGGCGCTCCTTTCATAACATATTCAGATTCATGGGGACAAATAAGACTCAGCCCACCTTGCTGAAAGATCTGACCAGTCTGACTGCGAGAGCACTACATGTCATCTTTGAAAAATGGTGGTGACAGGATGGGGAGATTGCTGATGCTTGGAAGGAGACTAGCCTTGCATACAGTTCTAGAAGAGGCAAGAAGGGTGACCAGGGAACTGTAGACTCATCAGCCTCACTTCAGTTCCTGGAAAGATCATGTAGCATGTTCCCTTGGAGTCCATTTCAAAGCCTATGAAGGACAAGATGGTAGTTGGGAATACTTGATACTCGTAAAGAAGAACGAGTTGTGCTTGGCAAACCTAATTACCTTCTGTGATGATATGACTGGGAATGTGGACAAAGGGAGAACGGGGAATGTAATACTCCTTGACTTTAGTCCTTTAATGGTGTCTCTGTAAAGAATCTTATTTGGAAGCTGGAGAAATACAAGCCAGATGAATGGACTGTTAAGTGGGTTGAAAGTCCGCAGGTCTGTCAAGTGGAAAAGTGGTGATCGACGACTTGATATCTGGTAATGTGCGAGTACTACAGAAATAAATGCTGGGGTCTGTATTGTTTAACATTTTCATCAGTGTCTCAGATAATGAATAGCGTTCACCCTCAACTGGCTGATGTGACAAAAGGTAGAATTGCAATCCAGAGCAAGCTTTATGAACTTTAGGTTTGGGCCTAAAAGATTCAAGAAGGATAAATTTCCATATGTGGTGTGAAATAAACCCGTGTATCAGTACAGACTGGGAAGCACTCGTGACCCACAGGGTCTATTGTAAAGGACTTGGGAGTTAAGGTGGATACTGTCATGAATATGAGCCAACAGTGAGCTCTTGTCACAAGCAAAACATGTGTTGTACTGGGTTACCTTAGAACAATGAACATGGCCAACAAGTCAAAGGAAGCTGTTATCCCCTGCTGGGGGCAGGCGTTCTTGATAAGGTTGCACTTGGAATAACGTCTCTGGTTTGGGACCATCCCAGTTCAAGAGGGATGCGGATAAACTCGAGAGGATCCAGTGGAGGGCTGCCAACGTGGTCAAGGGCATAGACCACGTACGTGTTGTGGAGAGAGGCTGAGGGATCTGGGCTCGGTTAGTGTGGTGAAGAGAAGATTAAGTGGCATCTAATAGCTGCCTGCAGCTGTTTGACAGACGGTTACAAAGATGACAGAGCCAAATTCTTCTTACTAGTATTAGATTATATAATAAGGGACAATGGTCACAAATTGTGGCTGGAAATTGGACAGCAGGAAAATCTTTTTCTCTACGGAACTAATGCAGCACTGGAATAGCCTGCCCAGATAAGTTGGAATCTCTCTCTCCTTGGAGATTTTCAAGACCTGGCTAGGTAAAGACTTACCTGGCTGACCTAGTGCTGGTGATAATCTCCCGCTTTGAGAGGGAACATTAGGCTAGATGAACTCCAGAGGTTCCTTCCAACCGTGATTTCTATGGCTGTGATGTCATAAATTTGAAAATGTATCTACCATATTTTTCAGGAATTTGGCTTGGCGTAGAATGGGATGATCCTCGGAGAGGAAAGCATGATGGTACCTATGAAGGAACACAGTATTTTAAGTGCCGGTGAGTTGATTCACAGTGTAGACATGTCATGCGTATTGAGAAGATGGTCGTGAGAAAACGCCCATTTGAAATTTTTAGGGCAAACCCTTTTGTTATCAGTTGGCTGATATTAAAAAGATAATAAATCTGAATGCTGTGACTAACTATGCCATAAAAGCTGTTGCATTGTTATTAATCCAGTTACAGGGATTAGAATATGGTAAATACTTCGAAAATACAAGTCATGTTTTCAGAGGTATGTAATAAAATGTGACTTTTGGATGTTATTACTTTTTGTAGGTTTAGACCTTCTACTTTAGTAAGGAAATCAGTGTGTCCTACTCACCTTCCTTAGGTAATTCTGAAGTGAAATATTGGTCCATATTAACTGTCTCAAATATAGTTTAGATTTAGACTTAAGATGACTTGTATGTGTCTTGTTAAGGGCAAATCCCAAGTTCCTGATAATGATTTGGATTATATTTGTATCACTGAGGAATTGTTAAGTATGTTCGCTTGCATTTAATACGTTCAAAACACAATGTAGCTGTGTGGGGTTTTTTTAAGTATATACATGCATTACATTTAAGTTTAAAGATTTGAGCACTTAACATGTGTCGTGGTTTAATTTCAGTCGGCAACTGAGCACCACGCAGCCGCTCACTCACTCCCCCCCACCCGGTGGGATGGGGGAGAGAATTGGAAGAGCACAAGTGAGAAAAACTCGTGGGTTGAGATAAAAACAGTTTAATAATTGAAATAAAATGATAATAATAATACACAAAGCAAGTGATGCACAGTACAATCGCTCACCACCCGCCGACCGATGCCCAG